TTAGGGTTTAGGCTTTAGAGTTTACCTCTCCACTTACCTCCTTACTTGGGGGTTTGGGGTTCAGTGTTTAGGGACTAGAGTTTAGAGGTCGTGGTCAAATGGCAAATGGAAACTACTATACCTGCCCTCAGTATGCAGCCCTAACAAATTATGCGCCCCACGAAGATGGACAAGAAAATGACATGTGCGATCTGAAGCTTTAGGGCTGATAATAGCCCCCAACCCCCCAGTAATACATATTCTTAAATTCAGTACCAACGTACATGAGGCCAAGCCACAACCCTTTGTTTTACCCTTATATCGGCCTCACCCTCAGCTGCGGATTTCAGGACATGTCCCAGGCTGACTTCCTCGTCCGTTGGCTGAACGGCACCTGCGCTGAAACGAGCTTTTCCCGAAAGCGGGATGTGGTAGAGTGCAGGGCCAAGGGTTTGGGCCTGCGAATGCAGTCTCCTCAGGAGTGTTTTTGATGTTATCTTGAGGCCGGCCCTCCGACGTGAGCCTGCAGGTTCTCTACAACGGCGCATTGAACTTAGGTCACTTAGGTTACAGCTACCCTAAGTAGTACCCTGTCCTAAGCCTCAACCCCGTAACACGCCGCCAAAGCCTCCGACCTTATGGCTGAGATCGGGCTAATCTTCAACTCAAAGCGAGCTCCCTCGCATCTGAAGTATTCATAATATGAGCTACAGTCTAAACCACTTGAAGGGGAGCAATGTGGGGGTAATTGAGGCGGATACTTTAGAATATATGTCATATGGGGGATGCTTATCCAAACCATGCTACTATGAGCCCTGGTATAACAACCCTATACTTCATACTGTACAAAACACTATATACCCTTAACTTATAGAGTCCTATGCACTCCTACGAAACCACAGATACCGCCATATAACCTGTTATACCCTATGAAACCCTATCTGCCCGTATATAACGTTTTCTCCTACATAGGTACTTAGGACCCTGCTGTGGGACTGAGGTAACATCCTGAAGAACCAGCTGGACCACTTCCCTCAGGCGGTTCGAGCTTGTTTGGGATATGCAATGGCCCCGGGACGAAGTAATTGGGTTTAGGGCCTGGGGCTTAGGGCTTCTTGGCTGAGGGAAAAAGCTTTGGGGGTGCTTTTTTTGCCAGTGTCTTTTAGGTGCCTATAGGATACTGGCATAATTTCCAAGCTCCTTCAAGGGGAAGACGCTCCATAGTTGCGAATCACCGTTCCAACCTGCGTTCCTTCTGCATACTGCAAATGTTTGAATATCTACCAAGTGGGCCGAGGTGTGTTCAAACACTGCCATGAGGGTTCGATTGTAATCATATTATTCCAGTGTCCTAATTTTGATGCGTTGGGAGTGCCAAACTTTTCTTTTTTCAATATGCAAGCCCTGAACTGTAGACCCCTAGACTCTGAACCCTCGACCAAAAGCTTGCATGCTTTCTGTGGCCCAGGGGAAGGCGTAGATGCTTGTAGAGCCTAGGGTGCCAACGGAGCCCAACATGTGGAGCCCATGTGAGTCCTGAATCCTGAGATGTATGCTTCAAAGAATTCCATTTTGGGGATACCTATAAGAGGGATTTCTATTAGGTTTGGGATTCATGTGGGCTCCCTATTCATGGAAGCCCTAAGCCCTATAAATCCTTATACGCCCCTGTGCAATCCCTATATCCCCATTGTCCTCCCCCCATCTACGGACACCCAAAACCCAAATCTCAAATCGACGCATGAGTCCCATAAACGTAGCCCATTCTCATGGAAGCCTCCAGGATTTGGTGAACTCCAACGGGCGCCACTTGTATGAGATGATCGAGCCTGAAGCTCAGGATAGGGTTTAGGGTTTGGGGTTGAGGGTTTAGGGTTAAGGGCGCACATTCATTGAAGATAAGACTGAATTTCTTGATGGTAGGTTGTCAACATGGTGGTCCCCTCATACTGTCTCTAGGATTTTGGGTAGTCAAAACAGGACCATAAATTGTCACACCATTACTGGAAGGAGGAGATGAAAACTCAGTGGGTTAGTGGTCAGGGGACTAGAGTTCAGGAATAAGAGCTGACGGCTTATCACGGAGAGGATCGCATTCTTTAATCTAGGTATATGGGGAGTGTAGTTCTGTCTATCTTATCTAGACACATCTGTTGGGACTCTTAGCATTCCACCTTTCAGTTGCCAGGAAACTCCAAGTAGGGCCAGTTGAGAACTAGGGCTGCCTTTACGCTGCTGTTTTTTGTCTTCCATTTTAAGTAGTCCCCGCCCCCCAAACCCTTAGCCCTCGACCTCCCAAGCCAGGTACTAGAAAACCTTCATCATCTCAGTATACTTGGGACCATAACCCAGCTGCTAAACCCTAAACCCTAAATCCTAAGCCCTATATCTCAAATCCTAAACCCTAAATCCTAAACCCTAAATCAATCCTAATTTCTAAACCCTGAAACCCTAAACTCCACTCCGCTCAGGTTCCTTTCCGGCAAGATGGTTCCAGCCTCAGCTGCGCAGCATGGAGCCGGTCTAAGGTAGCAGGGACATAGGGACTGGATCCGTATAGTAGTCCCGAAATCCGGGTCTATGACATATGGTGGTTCTCCAAAAATTAAGGGTACCTTTTTCGGGATCCCTAAATAAGGACTATAGTATTTTGGTGTTACATTGGGGTCCCCCGATTTAGGGAAACTACCATATCATCCACACATGTATGCGCGAAGTTTGATGCAAGGACCCGAGCCTGCATAGTGAAAAGAGGCATTGCCAAACCAACAGAAAGAGCAGGTTATGCAGAATCCCGTTGGCCCCGCAATCCGGGAGCCACCTTCTTTAACTTCTTTAACCCTTAATTAGCCCTGCCCTTCCACAGACTAACATGGAACCCCATATGAGCCATAGTCTAAACTCCTTCAAGGCGGTTATATGAGGGATTGTAACTGGAAGTATTAGAGGTTATTAAGGGGGATACTCAATTTTACACAACAGCTCATATAGCCCCATGTTAGATCAAAAAGGTCAGTAGTCTATAAACGGGTCCTGGTACATGTTGGTCTGGGGAGGGTAGGAGAGAGCTCTTTTGAAATCTATCCAAGGTCCAGGACCAGACTCCAAGGTACCGGATCAGTCACATGGCTTACCTGGACCCCAAAACTAGGTAAAATAAAAGCCCAAAACCAGTACATATAGCCGAAAAGGCCATTATTTTACATACTTTTGGGGTTCAGGTAGGGCTTAGGTGTCAGGGTTTAACGACTTCTCGGCTTTAGTCCGAACCGCACACCCTATGCCTTGCGGAACCTCCTAAGGGCCCCTACCCGGCTGGACAGAAACATTCTGAACTGCCAAGGTTCCCAACAAGGCGGCAGCCCCGGCCCCTCAGCGGATGGACAACACAGGCTCCCGGGCCCGTAGTTGGATGCTAGGTCGGGGAAAATCCAACTTAGAAGTAGGTAATCTTATAGTTTCTCATACCTATCATCATTCTAGATACAGCTAGTGTTTCGTAATGTACCTATCTAGTTTGGACGAAATTTCTACTTCAGGAGAGATTCTCTTCTAGCAGGATGCTCTACTTTGTAGTAGAGAAGGCTTCGTGAAGGGACATTAGGGAAAACAAAGGGTAGTTGGGATAAACTCTGTCTAAGTCTGAAGACGTATTCTTTCAACTGCCTGCGAAGCTTTGCGTTATACCGACCCACACGACGCAGGAGCTGTGTTTTTGCTCTGCATACTTATAGACTGAATTTCCTCCCACCGTAGTTAGGGCAGTTGCTGCTTTCCATACTTCAAAGCCCCATCTTCCGGCCTACGCCTACTGTAGGGAATGCAAGGGAACCTTCCACGTGAGACGAAGTTTCAAGCGGGTCAGGCTGTTACTGCTGTCGGTGGACTCGGGATATTTGCGGGAAACGGATTTTGTGATGAGCGCGGCAAGGATTCCAGGAACAACAGTATTAAGTGTTGTTCTGACAGCACACATGATGGACCTAGCTCGCAGGAGAGGAGAGAACCAGGATGTTGACGTACTCCCTGGCTACTCTCCCCGAATCTAGCATGAAGTCACCAAAATGTCACTCTGCCATAGTCACCGTGTTCAATTCAATTGTGTCATGTTTCATGTTAGTGTGGCGGACAATACACCCCCAACCCTAAGCCCCATCGTATCCCTACATTTGTATCATATATATATATATATATATCTCTCTCTCTCTCTCTCTCCCTCCCTCCCTCCCTCCCTCTTTCTCCCCCTCTCCCCTTGTTTGAAGGTTCATGGGAATAGGTGTTCACTTGTAGCTCGGATTATAACCCCCTGTTAACCCCCAACCCCCTTTCTGGACTCATGTAGGATACCCCATTTATCAGTAGAGCTATAAGCCTACTTCGAAGCCCACTTATAGAAAGTTACTGAGCAACATGCAAGTGACACCAAAAGTATATATATATGTGTGTGTATGCATGCATACCCTTAACTCAGACATGCATTAAGAGAGAGAGATATATATATATATATGAATTTTATATTTATCTATATACCCTAAGCATCCAAGGATTCATGTTTGAAGGAATTTGGGCCCAAAGACCATACTCTATAAGGCTTTTAGATGATTTTGATGCTTAGGG